CCTTACTCCAAACACTTTTCTCCTAACAGGCTCCACTCAAAGGAGATCTTAGTTTCATTCAAACCTTCAGTCTCTATTAATTAGGGGAATTCATGGAATTAGGGGGTACAGCTTTACACCAAATTCTTCCTGTCTCAGCCAGGCCCCCATGCAGGGTCCATCCTGATGCCAAATTCTCACCCACCTGCCAGGTCTCGCCATAAGAGGTACCAGCCTTGCCCCATAACTTCCCTGCAGGTCTCTAAATAAGGGATCCTCATCCCATCTCAAACCTCTCCTCAGATTCCAAAACGGTGCTCCCAGCCTTACCCTAGAACCTCATCTCTCCATCCATATGACAGAATTGAATGTCCTAACCCCACCTCCAAACCCTCATCACAGATTCCAAAACACAGTTCTCAATTTCCCCCAAACTCTTGATCTTCAAATGAAGGCTCCCACCTCCATCCTAAGCCCTTCTTTCCCTGACTCAGGCATCAGATGGACACCCTAGCCTTCATCCCAGATTCTCACACAAGCCCCCATTAAGTCAGGCAGCCTGGCCCTGCCCCAAAGTAGGGCGCTGCCGCAGGGAGGGGTGGATCCCTGCTGTTCCCGGGGTGAGGCGGAACCCCCTGGAGTGTGAGGAGGCCCCGGGAGGTCAGGTCAGGTGGAGCTGTCTGTGCAACTGAACAAGCGCAGACATGCAGGATCTGAGGGAACTTCTGCAGGGAGGAGCCCGAGAGGCGTATCCTGGGCCCTGAACTGCCCCCCCTCCCCATGAGGAAGAGGGAGAAGCCAACAGTGCCTCCTTCTCCGCCTCTGGCTCCTCAGACAAAGAGTCTCTGTGTCTCTGGGGAGGAGGGGTAGGACCCTATCTGACCTGAGGGGGAGATGGGGACCCCGGGGTTGGGGGAGGAGAGGGAATCGCCCCAAGCTGCTCCTTCTCCCTCCCCAGGGGTATCGGAGGCTTAGACTTCTCCAGCTAAAAGACTCTTAAAGTTCCTGCCCTGCCCCGCTTTGCTGGGAAGTTCTTCCTACAGTCTAACCTTATCTCCTGACATTTCTATGCTCATTCTCTCTTTGAAAGAATCCTCCAGAAGGGACCACAGTCTCTGTCACATCTCTCCAATGAGAGATTCTTTACCCAGAGTAGAGACAGCAAGAGAACATCCCTGCTTGTTCCCCGAGCTCCCTGAAACTACCCCCAGCCTTGAATTATATATAATGATAACAGAAGCCCCCAGTTGTGAGTGTAACAGTGAGGAGAGGACATTTTTGACAGATAAAAAGAAGGGACTATATTGAGGTTAAGGGATTCCCCCCAGCTGTCTGCCCAGGGTCAGCTTCCCAGGGCCCCTTCACCCTGCAGGGGATCAGGGGGAGGGCACTTAGGGAGGGGGCAGATGGGCGGATGATGGGTGTCAGGTGCTGGCCAGCAGAGGCCACGCATCCAGGGAGGGATCAACATGGCCGACGCACCCCGGACTGTACTCATCTCAGGATGCTCATCCGGCATTGGCCTTGAGCTCGCGGTGCAGCTGGCTCATGACCCCAAGCAGCGCTACCACGGTAAGGGGCCCAGAGTGGGCGGAGCCGGGAAGGACAGAGGTGGGCATGGCTTCCCAGGACCTTCAGCTTTCCTGGCACTATTTCCACTAGTCCATGCCTTCAGCTGCATTTGTAGGCTTGGAGAGAACCCAGGACACATGGAAGCCCCGTTCCCACTTCTGCTCATGAATAATCCCCTCATCTGAAGAATACTTCTTATGCACCTACTGGGTGCCAGGCACTGTTCCAGGTGCTGGAAACATAGTTGCGAACAATATAGACAAAATCCTGCTCTGGATTGTGGTGCTGTGGGGGAGGGGAGGAAAGACAGACAATAAACATACTTTTAATCGTATGATATGACAAGTGCTAACAAGTGCTCAGAAACAAAATAAAGCAAGGGGGAATGTGGTATGGAGTGTGGGAGGGTGATATTTTTAGAACGACTGGCCAGGGAGGGCTTCTCTGAGATGCCACTTAGGCATTTCCTAAGACTCCTCTCCTCCACCTCTACCCAGATTACCACTCCAAGATAAGCTTCTTAAGTGTCCCTGACCTTGATGGCTTAAGGGGAGGCCTCCAGACCTAGGGATTTGGCCTCCTGGAACTCTGGAGTTAATTGCCCCAATCTGCAACCCCTGCATGGGAATTCTGACCCAGAGCACACTGGAGTCCAAGTGGGCAAAGGGCTTTTACTTAAGAGGAGGACGCAGGGGTGAGGACATTGCCCCAGTTGGCAGAGCTGCTTTTCCCAGCCCTCTGCCCTCTGTCTTAGAGACATGCGCAGCTTTGGGTGTGGCAGTCTGAGTGCCAGTGTTCAGGGAAGTAACTCTGCTGTGTATGTCCCTGTGAGGAGGCAGATGAGTGTATAACACTGCTGAAGGATGATGTTTAATGAGTGTTTGCAATATGCCAGGCTACCATCTAAGTGTTTTACATCTGCTAAGTCATTTAATCCCCATATCACCCCTATAAAGTGGCCACTATCATTTACCCCATCTTAGAAATGAGGAAACTGAGGCACTGCCTGCCAAAAGTCCTTGCCCAAGGTGTCCCAGCTGGAACGTGGCAGAGTGTGGATTTGAACTCAGGCAGCCCAGTCCCTGGGCCCATGTTGTCACTGTATGCAGATGCCTGTGGTCCCATTCTTGTGTGCAGCACCTGGGATCACACACACTGATTCACTCACAGACAATATGCGAATGTGTGTGTGACTGTGGGTACATGTATGTGTAAGGATGCATTAGCTCAGCAATCTGACAAACCCAGGTTCACATCTCAATTCTAACACTTGCTGGGGTCGAACAGGCAAGAAACTTCACATTGTTGAGCCTCACTGTGTTGAAGGGGATAGTAACTTCACTTATGTGTTCTGGTCACTATTGCTAAATAGCAAATTACCCCAAAATTTATGGCACAGAACAACTGCAGTCGTAGAGGGAGGGTATGGCTCAGTGGCAGAGTTCGTGCTTAGCATGCATGAGGTCCTGGGTTCAAGTACCTCCATTATCTCCAATAATAAATAAATAAATAAACGTAATTACCTCCTCCCCCCAAAACAAACAAAAAACTGCAATCATGTATCTCCCATGGTTTACAAAGGTCTTGAATTTGGAAAGGCTCAGCTGGGCAGTTTGGACTCAGGGTCAAAGGGTACAACTAGAAGAGAGGAGGCTGGAACATGTCAGAGCTAGGCGGGCATCTCTCTCCCTTCCAGTAATCTCAGGGCTTCTCCTTGTGGTCGGTCTAGCCGGGCTAGCTTGGGCTTCCTCCCAGCGTTGTGGACTCGGGACAGCTGGGCTGCTATAGGATGAGGAAGGTTTCAGGAGCGAGCATTCCTGCAAGCAAAGCAGAAACTGTGCATCTTTTCCATCCTGATCACAGAAGCCACACAGAGCTACCTTTACCATAGTCCACTGATTCCCAGCTAGTTACAAGATACAGGAAGAGGGAAATCCGACTTCATGTCTTGATGAGTGAATGGCTAGGTTCTAGAAGAGCATGTGCAGTAAAAACTGTTGTGGCCATCTTTGGGAAATAAGTCAATGATTTATTTCAGGATACTTGTGAGGATTAGAGTTAGCGCTTATTAAAGTGCTTAGCATAGTATCTGGCACAAAGTAGGGGTACAATAAATGGAACCTATGTTGATGATATAAAACTCTGTCCCCAGTGGTGGCCACCATGAGGGACCTGGGAAAGAAGGGGGCACTGGAGGCAGCTGCTGGCGAGGCTCTGGGTCAGACCCTCACCGTGGCCCAGTTGGACGTGTGCAGCGATGAGTCAGTGGCCCAGTGTCTCAGCTGCATCCAGGGAGGGGAAGTGGACGTGCTGGGTGAGTCTGGGCATCCCCTGGGGTCACTCACCCCCTCCCTGGCCTGAGCACAGATCCTCATCATGGCAAAGCCTCTCCAGTGTCAGGACACCAGCCCTCTTGCTTCACCAGCAACCTCTGACCCTGAACAGAAGCGGTAGACCAGTTGGCTAAGAGCCCAGACTACCATTCAGTTTACTAGGGATACAAGAAATAAACTGACACCTGGGGGTAGCAGGATTTTATTCAGTAGAAATTCTCACATGTGTAGAAAATCATATGTGGTTGGGAAAATTAATTTGATGAGTCACTGGAGGAAAAGAACATGATGAAGAAGCAACTCATGGTCCCTAAACAGCCTTCTGTGGAGGGTGGTGTGGCTGTTTGATGTATTTTGGGTTCTAAGCTGAGTTGCTCATGCATTCAAGGGGAGGCTGTTCCCAGCAACCCTCCCCTCCACCCAGGGCTCAGAGTCCCCTATAACAAATGATAAACTATATTTAAATCTCATCAAGGCTCCACATTTGTCCACCCAAGATACCTTGGACTAGCCCTGGACTTGGAGTGGGAGAGGGGTGAGATGATTTAGGGAGCATCTGTGGGGGAGTGACACTAGAAAGGTTGGGGGACTTCAAAATAACCTTCACCACCACCCCTTTAGTGAATAATGCTGGAGTGGGCCTGGTGGGACCCTTGGAGGGGCTCAGCCTAGCTGCCATGCAGAACGTCTTTGATACCAACTTTTTTGGGGCTGTCCGTCTGGTCAAAGCTGTGCTTCCTGGCATGAAAAGAAGGCGACAGGGCCACATCGTGGTGGTCAGCAGTGTCATGGGGCTGCAAGGTGAGCCATGTATGCATCCCTGGAAATCCCCCCAGTATCTGACCCTTCCCAGGCTAGA